CTCCTCTATGCTCCCACGACTCCTCTCAGCAGCTGAAGCGCTCATGTGATTGATTACAATTGCTCGGTTACTAACACGCTCCAAAATCACTGCAGGTGGTGACTGCAGCCATGAAATTAAAAGACGCCTACTCCTTGGAAGGAAAGTTATGACCACCCTAGACAGCCCATTTAAAAGCAGAGACTACTTTGCCAACAAAGGTCCGTCTAGTCAAGGCTATGGTTTTTCCAGTGGTCATGAATGGATGTGAGAGTTGGACTATAAAGAAAGCTGAGCACCGAAGAATTGATGCTTTTGAACTGTGGTGTTGGAGAAGACTCTTGAGAGTCCCTTGGACTGCAAGGAGATCCAACCAGTCCATCCTAAAGGAGATCAGTCCTGGGTGTTCATTGGAAGGACTGCTGTTGAAGCTGAAACTCCAATACTTTGGCCACCTGATGTGAAGAGCTGACTCATTTAAAAAGACCATAATGCTGGGAAGGACTGAAGGCAGGAGAAGGGGACAACAGAGGATGAGATGGTTGGATGGCATCACTGACTCGATGGACATGAATTTGAGCAAGCTCCAGGATTTGGTGACTGACAGGGAAGCCTGGTGTGCTGCAGTCCATGGGGTCGCAAAAAGTCGGATGTGACTGAGCAACCGAACAGCAATGCTTTATCTGATTGAATCTTTACCAAAATTCTGTACTATTATTTCCATGTCACACAGGAAGGAAGAAATGGAAGTTTAGAAGGTGACATGCTTTGCAGGGTCACACAGTTAGCGAGTGGCAGAGCCAGGATTCTAAGACAGGAAGCTGATTCTAAAACCCATCCCTTAGCCACTGCTCTGCCCTGGAGGGGTCTGTGCATACCTGGTTGGAACTGCCTGTCAGAAGATGCCATTTGTTCAAGGTCTCTTGTACTTTCTAGAAATTCCACAAGAGGGAGACCTTTCCCCATCAGTTCTTGGTTGCTGACAACATTTAATTTCCAGTTTCACAGGTAGCCCAAGAATTATTATTTCTAGTCATCTGTACAGAATTTGAATAAGTTTCCTAACACAATGGCACATAGGTACCCCAAATTGGATCAGACTTCCCAAATTAACTAGGAAGTTCACAGTCCCAACCCATATTATCCCTCTGCCAATCACTTTTCAAAACTGGAACCCCAACTACCCTGGTGGTCCAGTGAAGCTACCTGTCAAAGCAGGGGACATGGGTTTGATCCCTGGTCAGGGAAGATCTCACATGCCAGGGGCCGGTGCGGGGTGGGGGTGGGGGGCGGCACAGACTAGTCCTATGCACCACAGCTACTGAGGGGTTGCCCCAGAGCCCGTGCTCCACAATGAGAAGCCCGTGCACCTCATCTAGAGAGTAGTCCCTCTCACTGCAACTAGAGGAAGCTTGCATGCAGCGACAAAGGCACAGCATTGCCAAAAATAAATAAATAGCATTTAAAAAAAACAACTTAAAGTACTCAACTCGAATCCCGATCACAGGAACAAGGGGAGGCAGGATGGAAGGGGCAATTTCCTGGCTGTCCGGTGGTTAGGGCTCTGTGCTTTCATCGCAGAGAGTACAGGTTCAGTCCCTGGTTGAGGAGCTAAGATCCTGTAAGCTGTGCAGCGTGATCATAAATAAATAAAGGGAGATAGGATAGCTGTTACCAAAGGAGACATGGGGGATATGTTTGGCACCAGCTGATTCATTTGGGAGCCTCTTGATATTCCCCTGCTTTGCCCTATTTTGATGGTCATGACAGTAAACAGCAGCTCTGACTTAGGACAGCATGGATACTGGGGCTCAGACTCCTGAAGGGAAAAGTCTGGGTCACACCATCAGGTAAGCCACTGAAATCAACAGAGGTGCTAGCCAGGGGTGAAGGAAATCTAGAAGGTATCCAAGAGGAAAATGATGGTTTTCAGTTGCTATTCTGGGATCAGCTACTGGGATTTCCCCAAATGAAGCAAGTCCCTCATCCTATTTCAGAACAACTCTGAAGGGTCATCTCAACTTCAAAACTCCCATGAAATCCACTGAAGCCTCTATGGAGACAGCATCACAGTTCAACTTGTCCCTCTGCCCAATGCTGCTACCTTCCCTTTCTTTCCACAGAGCATCTCCTTATAAGCCTCTTGCATTATTTTGTTTGTTTGTTTGTTTCATTTTTGTTTTTGTTTTTGCCGTGGGATCTTCTTTCCCCGACCAGGGACTCAACCCAGGCCCACAACAGTGAAAGGGCAGAATCTTAACCCCTGGATGACCAGGGAATTCCCAAATCTCTTGCATGTTAATCTCTTTCTCTGAATTTGATATCTGGAGAACAATGTCATCCATATCAGGGGAAGAGAGGTTTTTGACCACCTGTCCATAAGAATAAGGACGTTAAATATGTAGCAAGTGATGGTTCTATCAAAAGCAACAATATATGTGAAATCATTGTGAAAAAGGGGACTGGGCAAATGAAAAAGGAGGGAGTGATCAAAAATGATGTTATTAAGGAGATGAGACACAAGTGAAAGATAAGATTNGTTGCGAAGAACTGACTCACAGGAAAAGACCCTGATGCTGGGAAAGATTGAAGGTAGGAGGAGACGGGGGAGACAGAGGATGAGATGGTTGGATGGCATCACTGATTAGATGGACATGAGTTTGAGTAAGCTCCAGGAGTTGGTGATGGACAGGGAAGCCTGGTGTGCTACAGCCCATGGGGTCACAAAGAGTCGGACACGACTCAGTGACTGAACTGACTAAACTGAGAGCTATAGTGCAGGAGTTAGCGTCTCAAAAGTTCTGAGGAACTGCTCCAAAGAGGTAGGGAGGAATAAGAATATATATGAGGCTTTTGCTGGGAAAACAAACATTTGGTTGAACATCAAATGTTGCTGCTAATCACAAAGAACAGGTATTTCAAGTTATTTTCATTCTTTTCCATGTATGGAAAGATGTAAGAATCTGGACTCATTGAAATTATTCTTTAGATCTGCTTTTTAACTACGCAGGCAACTGCGATACATGAACCTTGTAGATCTGGAATTATATATATATATATATTTAAAAAAAAAACATTTTTTGCTTACAAGACCTTAGAAAATAAAGTCTTGGAGAACAGATAGAATGTGGGCCCTAAGGGTCATCAGTGTCTTCTGTAAGTAAGGACAGAGACTCAGAGCAGAAACAGGTAAGGAGAACTGGGGCTACTTGAACTCCCTTTCTTGATAACCATCTAAAGATATCCATCCCGTTGGGATGAGTCCCTCGATTCTCCCATCTGCATCTCCCTGTTCTCCTGTTAATTAATATAATGTTTTTATTAGCATCTGTAAGATGGATGAGAAGGGAAGACAATGGATCCAATAAGAATTCTTGGACTGGTGATTGATTATGTAGCAATAAAGTTACATGGGGCATCAATGCAACAGTGGTGTCCATGCAAAAGGAGCCTGCTTAACCATAGCATTTACCGTGTCCTGGGTACTGGGCATAGTCAGGGTGGGGTAGGGCATGGATGGGCTGATGGTTGAATACCTTATCTTCTGTGGACAGAAGCTCCATGAAAACAGGATGATGGAGGAATCTGGGCCCTGCCCAGGTAAGAGATAAAAGACCATATATTCCTCATTCTCGAAGTCAAGGAGACCTCCCCAACTACATATGCACAGAAAGGCTGCTTAGAGGTCAAAAAGGAAGGGGACGTCACTTCATAGTAAGTAATGCCAATTACCCATAAGTCTCTTTACTAGAATCCATCTTGGCTAAGAGATGAACATGCACATATGGGAGACTCCTGAGGTAAACCAAATACGGACTCAGAACCAGTCAAATCAAAATGATTGGCCAAAGGAAACCCAGAAGAAATGCCCCATAAAAGTAATTCAAACTGTCACAAGGGTGCAACTCAGAGACTCTCTCTGCAAGTCCTCTCAGGTGTCTATCCTCATGTACTGTACTTTTCCCCCCTAATGAATACTTTACTGGTTTCACTACTTTCCATTTTTGTGGGAATTCTTCTCTGCCAAGCTGAAGAGCCAGGGCCTTGTCACTGATCACTGGTCTAGTGGTTAGGATTCAGTGCTCTTATCACTGCGACCTGACCTCAATCTCTAGCTGGGAACCAAAGGCCTACTTTAAGCTGCCGCAGGCCGAGGTCACTCAAGATCAAGGGAGTGAATATCCTGGTCATCGTAAAATCCATTCCACATGGCCTGCACATGAAGCAGATCAGCTTCTTTATCTGAAGTGTTCCATTTGACATTTAATGGGGGTTGCTGAATAGTTAAACTTACCAGGGTAAACAAACATTACAGTGGTTTTTATCTAATCCAGCAGGCTGGCCATTTCCTCAGGAACAACTTACTATGTGTCTGGATCATGTATAACCACTGTTGATTGTTCCATAGTAAGCTATAGGTCCTGTATCAACCTAAACATGCTCTTCCATTCTGTAGTATTTAAAAAATACTATCCCCAAATTAGTCATTCTCACAATGCATTTTTTTTTCACAATGCATTTTATTGAAGGCTATTTAAGAAGTTGATGATACTAATCTATAAAATAAAGCAATTCCTTCACATTATATTCCCTGGTTTTAGTAGTTTCTTGGCTTTGTCTCCTCCCAGCACAGACTATCTTTTTGGTGATCAGAGTCTTACTCTCTGTTATCCCCACATAATAGTTTCCCTTTGCTGGTGGCTTTGGGGCTAGTAGCTGAAACTCAAACCAATCCAGCACTCTCTCTTATTTCTGTTTAGCTACTACAGATATCAATAACCAGAGTCTTACTCTCTGTTGTCCCCACATAATATTTTCCCTTTGCCGGTGGCTTTGGGGCTAGTAGCTGAAGCTCAAACCAATCCAGCACTCTCTCTTATTTCTGTTTAGCTACTACAGATATCAATAACCAAGAGATTGTGTAGTTTGCTTTTTTCTTACTAGTTTCCATTTCCTCGAGATTCTAGTGAACAATGCCCCAGGAGTTGGATCTCCCTCTAAATTCCATTGGTAAAATTTACCTTTGGTAATTGATTACACACAGCTGCTCTTTCATACCATGGGTGACTATGTGGCCACCCTTGTCCCCTAGTTCCTCATCAAGGTTCCTCGTCCCCTGCTCTTCCATTCTATCTCTTCCTGGATCACAAGATTCCATGAGCTAGGGCCAAGCTAGCAAATTGTACTTCTGACACCAATTCTGGAAGAGTTTTCTCTGACACCAACCAATTCTCCAACACCAACTAATTTTACAACTCAACTAAATTATGGTACTATCTACCTGGAGTTAGGATCAGATCCCACAAATTAAACGGGTCAGTCCCACAAGTTTGTCCCCACTCCAGATGTTAGGGAAACACTGACTGAAATCACCTGCCCTGGCCAGGCAAGATAGTAGCCACTTGCAGGAGTTATCTTAACAATAAGAGATACTGGTAAGGAATGCAGAACTAACAAGCTACCACCCATTAGAAGAATTCAAGAAAGGTCAAAGGGAGGGAAGAGACCCCAGTCCAAATGTCCTACCGATCTCCCAAAATTCTTCTCAATGGAATGCATCTTGGCTCAGGGATGCGCATGCCACCAGAAAAGACCCTGAGTGAGAATGACTGGGCAGAGACAACCTGGAAAGTAACCCAATTACCATAAAATGAGATGGTGGGCCACGTGGCAGAGCAGTTCTCCTGGGTTCCCTTATCCTGCTGCTCTCCACCCCGTCCCACCCCTTCCCCAGCCCTTCTTGTTTCGTCAGTACATGTGTTTCCTCCAACAGTTCTTTTCAGAGTGTTAAACAAGAGTCCACTCTCAAGTCCTTCCTGCAACATAGCCAGTCACAATGTTACCAGAAAACTCAGTTCAGCTCTTTGTTGGTGTCAAGCCAAAAGATGCAAAGGAGAAAGAGATTAGGAGAAAAAAAAAATTATTACTTGTAACAAGTAAGATGAACATCAGGAATCATTCCCAAAGTAGTATCTCCCTAAACAGCAAAATTGGGGAAGTTTTAAGCTAAGGATGCACACATATACAAGAAGGGGCTTGAGCAGGAGAATTCTGCAGGGAATAGAAGCAGAGCATGACAGAGTTCCAGCTTTAGTTGATTGAAGTCCCAAGGGTCAGAAAAAGTCAGCAGCAGCATCCTTTAGGTTCCAGTTCATCTAGGAATTGGGTACTCACTCAGAGAAAGGGTTTAAATTCTGAAAAACAGCTCAAGAAAGTGCTTCAGGCTAACATTTACCATTGAAACAGAACTGGGAGTCTTTACAACTGATTTATTACCCTTGCTTTGGTTACTTCTCTTGCTTAAAAAGTCTTGTTCTTTTTTTTTCCTTAAGATCTTTATTGGAGGTTTCCCAGGTGGCTAAGCAGGTAAAGAATCCTCCTGTCAATGCTGGAGACATGCAGTCAATCCCTGGGTCAAGAAGATCCCCTGGAGAAGGAAATGGCAATCTACTCCAGTATTCTTGCCTGGAGAATCCCCATGGACAGAGGAGCCTGGTGGACTACAGTCCACGGGGTCACAAACAGTTGGACACAACTGAGCACACAGCACAAGCCCGTTCAAGGGCAGACGTTGTGTCAGACTAGAGCACAAAATGGCTTAGGCCTAAAATGGCTTCTCTTATGTCTAAAAGCTATATCTGATTCTTTCCTTCTGGGGACCCCCTTCCCTACCTGCTTACAAAATGTCTCAGATAGCCACTTATACTTATGACCAACCAGCTGTGAATTCTAGGATTCTATGACCCTCTACTCAGGTTTGATAATTTGCTAGAACAGTTTCCAGAACTCAGCAAAATACCTTCTTACGTGTTCTGATTAATACTGAGGGTACAAAGGAGGAATGGCCAAATGAAAGAGACGCACAGGGCAAAGCATGTGAGGGGGCCGCCACAGAACTTCCGTGCCCTCTGCAGGTATACCATCCTCTCAACACCTCGATTGTTCACCAACCCAGAAGCGCTCTGAGAGTTTTTACAGAGCTCAATCCCCAGCCCTCTTCCCCAACCTGGAGACTGAGAGTGAGACCAAAACATCTCACTCTGATCACTAGTTCTTCCCAGTGATCAGCCCCATCCTGAGTCTAATTAGGGACCCCACCTTAATTCACCTATTAACATAAATTCAGGTGTGATTGAAAAGGGCTTGTAAAAATAACAAAAGACACTCCTATCAAAAAATTCAAAAAGTTTCAGGAGCTCTGTGCCAGAAACTGGACACAAGACCAAATATATTTCCTACTATAATTACTCTATCTGATATGATGCTCATAGAACTTGGGGGCAAGGGTCACTTGGAAAAAAATTCTCAGGACTTCGCTGGTGGTACAGTGGATAGGAATCCACCTGCTAATGCAGGGGACACGTGTTCAATCCCTGGTCCAGAAGGATTCCACATGCCGCAGAGCAACTGGGCTAAAGGGCCACAACTACCGAACCTATTCTCTAGGGTCCGTGAGCCAAAACTACCGAATCTGTGTGCTGCAACTACTGAAGCCGGTGGGCCTAGAGCCTGAGCACCACATCAAAGAGTAGCCCCAACTTGCCACAACTAAAGAAAGCGCAGCACAACCAAAAATAAAAATAAATGAATTTTTTTTTAAAGAAAAATTTCTCAAAGGCAAGAACTGACAGGAACTTGATAGTTCTGTGGATCTGGAGAAGCACTGAGATACAATTCAGGTTTTAATCACTATTCTGCCACTTAACTACCCCGTGCCTCAGTTTCCCCATCTGTAAAATGGAGATAATAACAGTATTATACTAACTTTTTAGAGTTGTTGCTAGAACTGAGGATTAGTCATTATAAAATGCCTGTTTCAGTGCCTGGGGCATCCTATAGCACTCGGTAAATGATCGCTTTCACCATGAAGGATACAGGAAGGTGGAAGACCCAAGTTCTAATTCATGTTCCTGGGTATATGGTCTTTAATCTGTTCTTAACCACAGATTGTCGTGTCTTTCTGAGCTACTTCATTTAGTATAATAATCTCTAGATGCATCCATGTTACTGAAAATGAGTCAGACACGACTGAGCGACTCGACTCAACTCAACTCAACTAGCCACTTCACCATCTCTGAGCCATGGGTAAGCCTAGGGTCCCTTCCGCTTAGAGAAGTCTGAGATAGGGCGGCTAAAGACAGGGCGACTCACGGGTGCAGGGACTAGTGGCAGAACACAGGAAATTGAGGACTGGCACCTTCTGGGCGGAGGGGTAACAGACACAGTGTAAGCATCCCTGCCTCACTGTGCTCCCCGCCACCAACACCAGCTCTTGCCCTCTCCGCTTCGAGTTTAAAGCCCGGTGGGCCTGGCAGTTAGCTATTCCAGGAATTTGAGTGAGAGGAGTTGCCTAAGGGGCCTCGGAGGAGCCTCTCAGCAGCCACATTAGGTGGGCTCCAGCAAGGGCTGGGCGGCGACAGCGGCCTCCCGCCGCAGTCCGGGCCGGGGTGGGATCGCAGGCGGGAGCCTGGGCAGGTCCCAGGCGCGCCCCGCCCACTCCGCGTCTACTCCGCCTCCCTAGCTGCGCCCTGGCTTCCAGCCACCGCGATCAGCTGCTGCGGAACCCAGAAAGAGGAAGGGGTGGAGCTGCTTTGTGGCTTTTCTCCGAGCAGTCAGCCGACTGCGCGGGGGGGTAATCGGTGTCCCTGGCACCGCCTGGGATCCCGAGAGCCTACTGGGGCCTACACCAGCCGGGGCCGGGCAGGCGAACCAGCCTGATCTAAGAAGCCGGGCGATGCCCCGCCCTGGAGTGTCTCCCGGCCAGGGCCGCCCCAGGTCGGGCCGGGAGCGGGCATCGGACTGGTCCTTGGGGGGCCCCTGCCTGAGTTTCCTGTGGCTGGCCTTGGCGCTGGCGCTGCCCGACTCCCTGGTCCTCTGGTCCCCTGTGGAGGCCCACCCTCTTCCTGCCCAAGGCCATCCCGCCAAGTTCATTCGCTTAGCGCCCCAGCTCCAGGAGGCCTTTGGCTGGTGGAACCTCACCTGCCCAACCTGCAAAGGACTGTTCACCGCCATCGACTTCGGGCTGAGGGTGAGCGCTACAGGGGCTGCTGGGAGACAGGCCAGAAAGGCGTAGCTGGGGGTGGGAGCTGGGGCTAAGGCTGGTGCTCTGGGGTTTCCAAGAGCATCCCTGACGGAGAGGCTGTCTTCCACAACACTTCGCTGAATTTACCCTTTGGCTGCACACCACCACCTCCACTTCCACTGTGACCTTGTGAAATAAGGAAACAGTGCAAGTTTAATGCTGGGCACTGTGCTAGCCCTTTTATACAGGTTAAATGTAGCCTGCTAGGTGGTTTCATTACTGGTCTGTCTGCTTTACAAATGAATAGAGGCCCCAGAGCTGAAGTCTCTTGTAGAAGGGCCAGCAGCTGGTGAGGGCGGCTCTCCCAGTTTGGTGTGCCTGACTGAATCCCTTCCACCTTCCACCTAGCACCACTATGCCTAGGGCTAGCTGTTACCCAAAAGGGAACCTGAATTAAGGAATATCCAGAGATGTGGTACTAGTTGGGTCTGGGCTGCCTTGACTGTCCCTCATGGGGTTATGATGAGTGCTGGTTGGTAGTGGTGGTGGGGGGGTGTTTTCCTTGGGAATCAAGACCCTATCCTCACATGTGTCCCCAAATCCTAGTCAGTCTGTCATTCTGTCCAGTCCAAATTTCAGGGCACTCAGCAGACAGTGTCTGAGAAAGTCAGCCGGGCAAGCAAAGGCCTGAACTGCCACTGAGCTTAAAAGGAAGTGCTGGCCTGGTGCTACTTGAGTCACAGGGCAATGTCTGTGGGAGACAGGTGTGAACTGCTGTCTCTTCAGCATGGTGGAGTCTGTTCCAGCCCCACTGTGGGTATGGAAGCCCAAAGGGTCTCTCATATCCAGGGTTGGCCTGGTCCCTCAACTCTGTTTCTGACTCCTCACCACTGGTTTTCCCATGGCAGACTCAGGCCAGTGTGGCCTGGGTGGGCTCCGTGGCCATCAAGCTGTGCATGCTGCTGAAGATCGCACCGCCTGCCGTGTGCCAGTCAGCTGTCCAGCTCTTCGAGGACGACATGGTGGAGGTGTGGACACGCTCAGTGCTGAGCCCGTCGGAGGCCTGTGGTCTTCTGCTGGGCTCTTCCTGTGGGCACTGGGACATC